TATGTGTATATATATATATAGGAATAGTATATTATATATATATATACATATATACATACATAATAGGAGAGAGTAACAGTACATGCGGCAGTATAATCATATCATATATACATTCATAATATACATACATAGTATAGCATGACATATAGTAGCATTAGCAATATACTACACTAGCATAGATAATATCATAGGCAGTGACTACTAGGGTGGTTATGAGTTAGGCGAGTAGGTATGGAGCGTTCAGGAGTAGGGTGGAACGGGGGTGCGTCGATATGGGCGGGAAGGGTCGACGGTGTTAGTGATGATGGCGAGACGTTAGGAGATATGTATATGTATGCTAGTGATCATGTAGGTATCGAGGACTCGATAGCGTAGATTAATGAGTACAGTGTTGTTAGGAATAAATATGAGTGCGGCTATCGAGTGGTACGGCTATGTAGATAAGTGATATGTATACACATATATATAACATATATATACATATATATAATTATATATATTATATATAATATATATATACATATATATATTTATATTATATTATAATATATATATATTATAATATATATATAAGTATATATAATATGGCTATTAGATATGTACGATGAATATATTATAGCCATACGATTGGAACTACGAGTTATTGTCTGATATGTACATCCGTTATGGTGATAATATGTGGATTATATGGTAATATGCCTAGTATAGAGATATGTGATGGGATGAAATGGTCTGTTACAGCTTCTGTACCTTCAGCGAGAATGTCACAGATCGGAGTTGCTAGGTCCCAGAGATGAGGATTCTGCTCCTGGTATCAGGCTCCAGTCCACATCGCTGACTTGGTACAAGCGATATGGGGTTATTGTTACCCTATCCTTGTTAGCACTCACTGGAGGATCCTTCAGAACTGCAGGGTTTACAGGAGTGCAGAGTTCTGTAGCACCAACCATAGATTGGTAGTAGTGACCCTGTGAGTTCACTTTAAATCCCCGTTACCACAGCAATCTCTAATTGGTTAACAATGCTTGAAAACCTGATAGACCCTGTAGTTCTATGGGATTCCTTTAAGCGTGAAACACTTGATGCAACCCAGGAGTCTATTGGTGAACGTCTGAGGACAAGGTAGAATTTCACCTTGCTGGAGACGTTGGAGGCTACAGATACATGTCGCATGGCTTGTCTAAACAGAAATTGGGATTTGCGCCATTCCTTGGTACGCAGGGCTAAGACTGCTGAGAAGGGAGAAGAAACAGTTCATCAGGAATCTTGCTAGGAGGTAGAAAGCCATTTCCTAGTAAATGACCTTCATCCTGCCGACCAAGCCCTGAGAAAGCTGAACTCCATTCACTCCTCATGGATGCCTGCAGTCCGCTCAGTGGATAGATGGATCATCACAGATCATGGGGTTCCTGAACATTGGACTGAGTATTTTGAGCAATTGTACCAGGTAGACTCCCCAGCAGTTAGTAGGGATGCTGCCATCCATGTGCCTGACCCACACATCAGTGAGGATCCCCCTACCCTGTCTAAGGTTTGGGAGGCAATCTTTAAGCTGAAGGGTGGGAAAGCTGTTGGCATATGCAGTATCCTTGCTGAACTGCTAAAGGCTGGGGGTGAGCCATGGCACGGTGCTTGCATGCTGTCAAGGCTGCCATCTGGCAGTCTAGTTCCATTCCCTCTGACCTGTTGAGGGGCATGGTCACCCCTCTCTATCTATAAAAGTCAGTCATTGTTCTTTGTAATTTGACTGGTTATGACATTCTCATATAATTTCCTCAGTCGGATTTCCTTTAGATATTTGTAAAATTGTTTCATCCACTCACAGTCCTTTTTACAGACCTATGCCTCTGCCTCACAGAATACTACATACTACACATGTATAGCCAGTAAAAATTGTCACCTCCAGACATTTGGTGTACCAGTTGGAAATGTCCACAAGCATATATGACATGGCCAGTTTATTTATTGTTTATTTATTGTTTATCAATTGTCATTGAATATAGATGGCTCCACAAGTACTTCGTCCTCAGTGAGCCAATAGGTGACTTCACCTATCATCTGTTTGCCCTTTTTTCTTAATTTTTAGAAATATTTTAATTTATCTATGATAATAACACCATCAATATTGGTAGTATTTGTAAAAAAATGAATAAATAAATAAAAAAAATAAATGAATAAACAAGGAATGTTAAATCAGCTGAGGTCATCAGGTAAACTAATTAACTACTTAGTAGCTAAGCACTTATGGATCTATTTATGTGTACAGGCATTTTACAAAGCAATACTACAGTGAACAGGACATCTTTCCGACAGAACTGGATTGAATTACTAACATGACAGGACTCGTGCTGTTTCATGGTATTTCATTATAGAAAAATTAAGTATTTAAAGACTTACATAAGTTGTAGAATGAACTTTTGAATATTAGAATTGGAGATTAAAGATGGAGGGAAATATCTATGAATAAAGCTAGAAGGAAATATTTATGATTAAAAACTTTTGTAAACTAGCACACATAGTGTGAATTGAAAGTAAAGATTCTTCTAGGAAGAGGATTCTCATGTATAAGAGCAAAGGCTTGATGCATTCACCTTAGTAATATAAGACACATGTATAGTGTGTGAAAAGTAAAGTCTTCTTAGGATTCTCATGAGAGCAAAGGCTTGATGCATTATAGTATATAATCCATGATCTTAGAGTAGACCTATATATATATATATATATATATATATATATATATATATATATATATATATATATATATATATATATATATATATATATATATATATATATATAAGTGAGAAACAAAAAGTCATGAAAAACTAAGGTATATGTGTGGTAATATGTAGATAATATATTTAATATTTTTTTATGAAATAATATTGCAGCATTCTGATTTGTATACAGTAAATGCAAGTATCTGACAGTCCATGTTTGTAATATGGTCAACCTTTGATGTTTATCTGGTGATATTCATGCACATTTGAGATCAGAAGTCAGATAACACTGCTTGAAAGTTTACTTAATTTTTTACAATTTCCTTTTTTTATTCATTTTTAAATCCTTGTGTTTGTTTATAAGAATTTACTTTCATAATTTATTTGTTTATTTGTGTTTTGTAGATGAAAAGAAATTGACACGTTTTCCCTTGAACATTTACATGAGTAGATAGCTAAAGTTAAAATGAAGTTAAAAGCATGTAGATTGTAGATGTTTTTCGACAAGTTGAAAATTTTCCCTTATTATGTTTCTTATTAGTGGACAGAAAATTAAAAGTGAGAAACAAATAGCATTGTGTATTGATGCCTGCCATGACAATAAGTGTTGAATGTGTCTGGAATGGAGACTTCCCAAAGCCCCTTTGTTTCTTGTCCACAATTTTAACTTTAGCGTAAATCCCCTTCCTTTGTGTCTGCATGTTGTTTTCATTTGTTTAATAAACTGCTTGGGATATATTTGTAAGTTTGTAAGCCTATATGCAAAAGCATTGAAGATACTTATATAGTTGAGAATGTGTTTATCACTTGTAAATACTAATATTTTGTTTATTTGTTTCTCAGATAACTTCATTAGAGAATGTGAGCACAGAAGCAAGCCTCCAAGGCAGAATGTCTCAGTTCTTTGGCAAGTTAGCAAGAGGTCTGGGCTGGGGACCTCAACCAACCAAGGTTAGTTTTACCAGCTTGGTCTGATTAACTCACTTGCGCCAGGTGTCACACATATGTGACACCCTGAAAAATAAACATTGCCAGCTGTCCTACCGGTGCGATGCTAGATTGGAACTTGCTCCCTGATTTTGTCGCTTATGGCTGACGGCGTGCGGGCAGGTTCCCAGACTGGCCCGCACACCGATTTTGATACCGCCCAGAAACTGGGATTATCGGCTTCCAAATGGACAGTTGCTAGTGGGTTAAATATCTTTTTGAATACATTCTTTTAATGAAAAATTTGCTTATTCCTTTTTATTATTCCCAGTAAACTATTTTTCTGGTTATTATTGTCTTTTTTCTCTTCTGTGGAGTTTGTATTTGCTTTTATGGGCCTTAACCACAAAATAGATAAATGTATGAGGCTGCATGTTTTTTTTTTTTTTAATAAGTCTCCTATGTTATATGATTATTTGTAGAGAAACAAATCCATTGATTTATTCTGTCAAAAAACATACATGCTCTCATGGTTTCTCAAAGATAGTGCATTACAAAATTTGAATGATTGCCCACTAGTGGTGGTTCCTCTCCGAGTGTTATTTATAATAGGTTGGAAGATATAAAACTTTTTTCAATTCCAATTTAACTATTTACAAAAAAAAAAAAAAAAAAAATGCTGAAAAGTTTCTATACTGCTCTATGAAGTTTTATTTGGACAGAAAACAGTGTAAGGCCACCAATTATTTGCCACTTTTTTAACAGCACAAATGATAACTACTTGGCATTACTGGGTTATTAATTTTGGTACCAAACCTCTTATTTATTATGAATTCCTATCACAACTTAACACTAATGACTTGCAAGGTCACTAGTAGTGCTAAAACAATACATGTTTGTAATTTGGTATATACAACCCCCCTTAATGCTTGTTTTGGGCTTAATTTGGTCTCCACAGAGTGTCAGCAAGTGTTTGATTTGTGCACAATCAGTGTTGTTGATATGTGACATAATTAGTCTATTATGAACCTGACCAATTATCTTCTGCATTCCACCCAATTAATTCTCAATGACTGTTCATATTTTCTCTTCCTAATTTTGCTTTTGGAAGTTGTAATCTTCATTTTCTAATGTGTAGGCCAGGTGTATGTGAACACTTGTATACAATGACAAGACTGTGCTTCCCATTTGGAATTTTGCATAAACCTTTTGAGCTTTATTGCCATTTTCCAATGTCCATATTTTCTTTTGAATTGCTTTATCCAGATGGTAATAGACTCTTTTCCTTGTGCAGACTCAATATCATCTCTCTAGGTAGTAAATAACTCAGTGCAAGAAAAATGAAAATATAACAGCTTATTATTTGTGCCACTTTTTTATTTTTTCGTAATATTCAGTTTTATGTAATACAACCGATGCCACCAGTCATAGCAGCCAGGAATGGGATGCTGAGCTTGAAAATGGCCTCCTCCCAGGAGCCAATGCTCTTCCAGTCATGGCTCATGGACATTATATTCCACACTTGTTTAAAGATGTGAATAATGTAAAAGCCCCTTTCTAGACACCAAATGAGTCTAATCATCTTTCAAGAGGTTTGTTTATTCTTGGCAAGTCTTTTCCGACATCCTGGCCTTCGCTCATGATGGCATGTTTGTTTTACCTGGCCCACGGCCAATTTTTCCATGATGATATGTTAACGTCACTCGCCGCTCAAGCCAAATTTTCTCATAACACGATGGTCATGTCACGTGGATCAAAGCGGTTGACTTTAGACAGTTTAAAGGAAATTTGGATGATAGTGTTTTTATGTCTTTAGAATATTAAGGCATTTTCATTTTATTTTTGCAAGCAATATATAATGCTTTGTACTCAATAAAATATAAATTGTATGTAGATATAGATAGTTATGCTGTTTTGTACATTAATGGTGATTTTATTTCTGCTACAGGTTAATAATGTCAACTGGGGTGATTATGCAAATCGAGCTTTCACAGTTGTTGAAGGCATGTTCATTATTATACCACTGGCTGAGGATGACATAATTGAAGACCCAAATCTAGCTTTTGAACTCATAATACATAAGGAAATCAACAGTTCTCGCAATGCTTACAGGTAAGTTTCAGATCATGGCAAACTTAGTATAATTATTTTGTCAATATCATCTGTGCTTAGACAGATTGATTTTATACGATGTAGATAGGGACATAACTTTCAGAGTGATGAAAGAGTACTTCCCAGTCTGGAGAAATGCTTTTTTGCAGGGCAAATCTGCAAGAAACAAGATGCTTTTCAGTTTTTAAAAATTAGTCAGTCTCCTTTAGAATTGTGAAGAATTTAAATTACCCTGAAGTTGCTAGAGATGGCAAGTATATACAATTTTTAAATTTGAATTAACACAAATAGCTCCACAAGTACTAATTCACCAATGAGCCAATTACAAGTACTACCTATTTACCCTTTTCCTTGGTTTATGAAAATATTTTCTGATTGACTCCTTTGTGGCCAGATTTGATATAGTCAAAAGTTATATTAGAGATTTTATATAAAACATTTAGAGTTAATTATCACAAAATTCATTTTTTATTAAAAAAAAAGAAAAAAAGAAAAAAAAAGAGAAAATGGCTAATTTGTAACTGAGGATCTACACTCTCATTGACGGCCCATCAATCTAGCATTATTAATTTTGAATCAGTAAATTGGTTTCCATGCTTTTTTCATTAGAAAAAGATATATGCCATGAAACACAAAACTACAGCAAAATGCAATAATTCCTTGTGCTCCATGTTGCTCAGACGAGAAGTACTATGTGTGATGTTATTCAAGCGAGGTATGTGCGGTCTATTACAGTGGTACTTTTCGTAGTTGAAACACTACGTCTAGCTGGGCACTCAGACACAAATCAGCTCCTATATGAAGATGTCCAGTTGAACCATGGCTTAACCCTTCTTGAAGAAACCGGTGTGGTTTATGTGCTCAATAATGGCCTTCATGCTGGCAAGCATTTTGCTGTGGTCTTGGGCCATGTAAATGTTGAAGGCAATAAGAATGACCCACAAGGAAATCAGCATGTGAGATAATTTAGTCCTAGTCCTGGGCCATGTAGATATTGAAGGCAATGAGAATGATCCACAAGAAAAACAGCATGTGAGATAGGAAGGACTACTGATTGACTCCTTGGTGAATAAGCACTTGTCTTGGAGAGCCATCTGTGTATAAATACAGCTAATAAACTAAACTCATAGTAGAATTGGCATGTACATACATGCCATTCCCAGTGGCATTGGGTTAATATGTTCACAATATTGTTATAAAAAAATATATATATTTATTCATTTATTTTTTTGAGTGTTCCTCTACTGTTAAAAAGGTCAAAGTAAGTTAAGGGTGTCAATGTTACAAATTGCATAACTGCTGTACCTATTTCATGAAAACCATGATTTTGTTATAGCCTTTATAAAAAGTGTTTATTATACAAGTAAGTCTCTCATCTTTTTTTTTTATTTATATTTTCATTTCCATGATTTCAGTCTTCTTAGAACATGCACAGAAGAAGAGGCAAAACAGGCATATGAAGCTTATAGTAAGATCTTAAGTCCACTTGTGGACTCATGTGGGAAGGAAGTCCTTTGTCAGGGTGTGTTGCAGAAAGTACTGGATTTCTTACGGGAGCATCTATCTTGGCATGTTGGCCACATCACATCTCATTTTGGATTTTTAGAAGCTTTGAAAAATGAGGAAGTACAAAGGTATGGATAATTTTTGTCTTGTATATTAGCAGAAATTCTCATCAAGAGAGGAAAAAAGTATTTACTTTATATTGGCAATATCATAATGATTTCTTGGCCTATTTGATTTTACATTTGTTTTTCTGCCTCCTCTTGCAATGGTATGAAATGTTGATTAGTCCAGATTAGGTAAGCTCTCACTAAGCCATGCTTTGCTCATCCACTTATCCTCTTAACATACTGGCAATGGGTTACATGTTATCATATCATGGTGAATAATCACAAATGCAGAGATGAGTTATTGCCATCAATTCTACAGTTGCCCAGGTGTGTTGCAGTGCCTATTCTTTCCAAATTTTAACAGAAATTTTATCTGTTGTTATTGAGTTAACCTATTCATGACAGGTAAGATTTTGAATAAAATGTTTGATAAGGCCAAAGTATATTCACATCCTTGACTCCATGCCTTGGGTATTGTTCACAGCTAGGCTCTCAAGGATCTGTTGTAGTTCACGATATAATTAGATATTTCCTGACATCAATGAAATTGTTAATATAAATATAAATTGGTTAAGAAATCTCATGAGCTAACCTATGTACTAACAGTTGTTTGCTTGAGTTGTTAGGCATTATTTAATTCTATTTGTTTTATAATTTATGTGACTGATGATAAAAAGACATAATAAAATTGATGATTTTTTATGAAAAACTCATGTAATGTTGATTTGTTCTTGTCCAAAGCATAAGACCAAGCATATAAAGCATATAAAGAAGTTGACACTAACTTACTAATGTACCTAAAAAATGCTAAGAACAGTTTATTTTTTTATAATTTATTCCAGCTTCCTTAATGTTCCTGAAGATTTAGAAGGACTTTACCCCATACACGTTGCGGTGGAAAATGAAAATGAAAAGGTTATTACAGCCTTGATAGCAGCAGGTGCGGAGCTAGATGTTGTAGATAAAAGTGGAAATACTCCTTTACACATTGCTGCTTCAAAATCTATTACAGTTATACAGGTTAGTTGTATTTTCTGTCAGTATTTTTTCAACTTATGGTAATATTACAGTTGCTACTTTTGTTACTTCTGATAACTCATACTGCTGCATTCTTCTTCTTCTTCTTCTTCTTCTTCTTCTTCTTCTTCTTCTTCTTCTTCTTCTTCTTCTTCTTCTTCTTCTTCTTCTTCTTCTTCTTCTTCTTCTTCTTCTTCTTCTTCTTCTTCTACTACTACTACTACTACTACTACTACTACTACTACTACTACTACTACTACTACTACTACTACTTACTACTACTATTGCTGCTACTGCTACTACTGCTACTGCTACTACTACTACTACTACTACTACTACTACTACTACTACTACTACTACTACTACTACTACTACTACTACTACTACTACTACTACTACTACTACTACTACTACTACTATTGCTGCTACTGCTACTACTGCTACTGCTGTTACTACTACTACTACTACTACTACTACTACTACTACTACTACTACTACTACTACTACTACTACTACTACTACTACTACTACTACTACTACTCTACTATTGCTACTACTGCTACTGCTACTACTGCTACTATACTACTGCTACTACTGCTACTACTACTACTACTACTACTACTACCACTACTACTACTACTACTACCACACTACTTCTTACTACTACTACTACTACTACTACTACTACTACTACTACTACTACTACTACTACTACTACTACTACTACTACTACTACTACTACTACTACTACTACTGCTACTGCTACTGCTACTGCTACTGCTACTGCTACTACTACTACTACTACTACTACTACTACTACTACTACTACTACTACTACTACTACTACTACTACTACTACTACTACTACTACTACTACTTCTACTAAAACTACAATAATAACAGGGGATCCCTGTTGTTTGTCACTAATGTGGACCAGAAAAATATGAGTAATGCTTAGGTGAATAGTGATACACAACATCCCATGGAAATGCATTATAAAAGGGTGTAATGTGGACTGGCATTGTAATATTCTGTGGCTAGCTCATTCATATAGTTGATATGCAAAGTTGTAAAATAATGCTGAAGAGACTAATACCTACATTTTTATTAACCCTTGAATCTGGTTGCATCATGGTAATCACATGGCCAAAAATACAGACATTAGGCTTATGTATGTGGTTGCTCTGCTGGGTGTGAAAAGTGGCCAGGCGCATGCAAACATGCGTTTGCATTGACAGTGACAAGACTGTATGCCTCCTCAATGCAAAGTTATTTTGCATAAATGTTTTTAAGTATTTCTGATATTTTTCAATGTCCATATTTGTCTTTTGAATTGCTTTATCCAGATGGTAATAGACTATTTTCCTCAATGTATTAACCTGTTGGATCCGGTTGCGTCAGAGAAATCACAGTGCTGAAAACCCGGGAATTGGTTTAAGTAAATGGCCAACATCCCTGTGTAGGCCGGATGGGCACAAATACCCATGACTGGTGACAAGACTCTGTGCCTCCCCTTTGCAAAGATATTTTGTGGAAACTTTTTTAGCTTTATCGTCATTTTCCAATGCCCATATTTGTCTTTTCATTTGCTTTATTCAGATGGTATTAGCTTATTTTCTATGCACAGACTCCATATCATCTCTCTATGTAGTAAAAAACTCTGTACAAGAAAAAAAATATGGAACATTTGGTTTGTGTCATATATCTCATTTTTTTGTGATTTTTAATTTTATGTAATACAACCTGTGCCGCCAGTCACTGCGGCCAGAAACACGGTGCGCAGCATGGAAATGACATCCTCCCTGGACCTACTTGTGCACTTGTGGCGAGTCTTTTTCATCTCCCTGGCCTTCACTCATGACAACAAGTTTGTGTCACCTGGGCTCTGGCCAATTTGCCTGATGACGTCATGTTGATGTCACCTACCCCTCAACTCGAGTTTTTCCTTGACATGACCACAATGTCATCTGGGTCCAATGGGTTAATGTAAATATCACTAGTGCTACATCCTTTACGTTCCAGTAATAGGCCACTGTGCAGGACAAGAAATCCTAGAAACCACCAAGTGGTCGGTCAAAACAAACAATAATGTTATCTGGTGGCGGACGTGAAAAATGGCCATGACCGAACGCTCTAAATGCATACCGAGTACTGAATGCTCAGATGGATCATCACACAGTCAGTCATGCATGACGTTACACTGCTGGGCAGGCAGTAATGGAAGAATAAAACAGTTAACTTATTATTTCTGGTTTCTGCCACCATCTGGGAATACTCCTCCAGGAATTAGGAATTACTCAGGGCTAAGTCTAATTTGATATACTGTATACGGGAGAGAAACTAATTACTACAAAAAAAAAATCTTTATTTGGACAAACAAGGGAGAAACAAAAACAACTATCATCCATTCTGGATAACTCAGAAGAAACACCCAAGGTTGGAGCAACCATCATGGCGACCCTCCATTGGCTTCACTGGCCCCCCTCATACTTCTCATGGAAAAAACATTTTGGGCACTGACATAGCCTGCTTGCTCCATTCTTCATGAAGGCCAAAGGAAAAAAGTTGATAATGGGTCTTCATAAACTGAGATACCCCCCTGAACATATCTCAAATTTCCAAAGATTTAGGAGGTTTGCTAGTGACCTCACCTGCTCTCCATGATAGCCAGAGGGAAATAGAGAGACGACTGAGAGTACGAATGAGAATATTGGTGTTTCCTCTTCCTTTACACAATAAAATCTTTGTACACCTTTTTCTTACTAACCATATTTTATAGTATCGCACAGTAATGAAATGGAGGTGGAAGTTGTTTATGAAAATAAACTTTATGAATGCAGTTTCTCTGGTGGATATGTGTAGACTATGTTGGAAGATTACCATGCAATTCAAAGTATGTCATGATCCAAAGCATTCATTACACATCTATTGCTGCTACTGCTACCACTTTTACTGCTGCTACTGCTGCTGCTGCTACTGCTTCTGCTACTACCACTGCTCTTACTACATGACTGTATCATCTACTACCACCACTACTATTATTACTACTTTTTCTTATTATACTGTTATTTTTATTACTGCTGTCATTCCTATTGCTATTATTTTTAAAAGGACCATATCAGTTGAGGCTGTTATTGCAATTTTCTTTCTCTCTGATGTTATGGTATTCTCTTTTCCCTATTCAGAGATTGGATAATCAAAGGTGGCACTAAAAAAACTAATGCAAGGGCAGGACACACTTGCTGTAATCTAGATCCATCCTTGCTTAATCCTGTTACACATCTAACTAGATTCATAGGCAGTTGATTACAGCAACTCAGTTGCCAATTTATTAGTTGTGATGATTTTGATGATGATATACTAATGATTTCGAGTATTTTTCCTTATTATTGGTTTGCTGTAGGCATAATCTGACAGTTTTGAGTTTGGTTTTGTATCATAAACCTCAGGAACCACTGAAATCATTTCTTCTCCCTGTCTTTTCTTTGTTTAAATATGAGTCTTAAAGGTATTTGCACTCAACACACAACCTAACTAGTCCATAATTTATCATTTTGATTTGGTAACACTGGATATGAGAGGAGTTAGAATGTATGAGAAGCAGTGAAGGAAGTAGTATGCCTTGAACTATTTAGTGGGTAACCACATACAACAGTGATTTGCCCAACACGCAGCATTTCCATAAGATATGATTGCTGGGTGCTTGTAAACTCCTGCAGCTGAGTGTATGTATAGAGTGTCCATGACCTGCCCTTCTGGAGTGTACTTTTTGTGCTTTGATGCATCATTATTTTGAAAGGATCTAATTGGTATTTTTCAGTATTTTAACCTATAAAGTACTGAAAATCATTTTTATTATTTATCTGTATCAATGTATATTTGTATTTCTTTTTCCAGGCCCTGAAAATGAAACATAATAATGTGTTGAACAAAAAGAATAAAGCACAAGAAACGCCTTTACTTCTGGCTGCCCAGTGCAGCAAATTAGATAACATCAAACATTTGATCCAGCTTGGTGCCAATATAAATCACAAGGATGAAATTGTGGATCAAAGCAACCAGAGCTATTGGGACAAGGTAGAAAAGCTGGTGCAAGCAAAGGATATTAGCTCAAAGGTACTGTCGATAGTATTTCATTCACAGTCTCCCTGAATTCCTTGCTCATTTTTGTTGTGGGGGTGTTTAGGAGATGGAGACTGAGACCCAGTTTAGGGGATCACCCCTTTCTTGGATCTCAGCCCTTGCCACAACTAATTTTGCATAGCTTGTCTTCTCCCCATTCCTTTTCCTTCTTTTCTTCATCCCTTTTTTGTGTCTACTTCCTTAAGTGTGAAAGCCTTGCTGAAAGGATGAAAAGCTGACTTTGTGTCAGGCCTGAATGGGCTCCATACTCCATTTGCCCTTCCCTCTTTACCGTTTTCACTGCTGAACTAACTTACAGCATTCTACAACCATTCCCATCTAACATATTTTGTCCAAATCATTAACTCATTTTTAAACCTTTTGCTGCAATACTTTATCATAGTGCTGTATGACCTTTCCTTACCAGGGGGCTTTGCCCCCAAGCCTCACCCTATCTCTATATTTTGAATATGCCGCTAATGACCTTAGATGTTGATGCGGCAGAAATTTTCCAATAAGTAGATAAATTTACATATGATAATATGATTCTGATTACTGCTATTGTTTACTAAATCAGCTCAAAGGTATTATTTGGCATTTTGTTCAGTCATATGATTTTAATATCTACTAAGGTAGCTCAGAAGTATTGTACATGGCATTTTATTCTGTCATTCCTTTATCTGTTACATGTTTTGTTGTTGGATTTATAAATCTAATTACTTCAGATGATGAGAATAAATTAATATTTATGATTTTACTATTTTATATACAATTATTAGAGCAAATATTATAGAATTGTTAATGATAAAATATTTAGGGGCTGTACATCAGCAGTTGCAAAAACTTAAACCTCTGATGACAACAATTCATAGTGATAAGCTTTTACACCTAGGATAATTTTAAGGATGTTAATATTAAATGGCTAAAGTATTTGTTTCCTTTGTTAGGACTTGCACAAAGGTGGAAATCTGCTTCATTGGGTGAAAACCAGAGAATTGACAGACCTTTGTCTTGATATAGGTTGTAACCCAGATTTGCGAAACTCTGCAGACCAGACACCTTTACATATTATGGTAAGCTTGTGTAGGAAGGACAGTTGATATTCACTCTCCAATTATCTGTAATATATGAACCATTTTTGCTTGAAGGTGATTTCATCTTTTGAAATTTAGAGTAAGCCACAATATTTCACATAGAGATATCACATTTTCACAAAGTTAACAACTTTTCTTTCTTTACACTCCATTATTTTTATTATGTCTTACATATCAGGTTGTGAGAAACAGGATACAGTGCATAGTAACTTTACTATGTCGTGGAGCCGGAGCAAATTATGCTGATGTGGAAGGCATGACTCCACTGCATTTGGCAGCTGCTCATTGTTCACCTACTTTAGTTCAGGTTAGTCAAAAAAATGCTGCTGTGAAACTCATTGGCATCACCCATGTAAGTCTAAGAAATTCATAATTGACCAGAAATATCAGGATATTTGGAACTATATGTAGGAAAGGGGGATCTGCATTTTAAAAGTTAAAGTGCTCAGAGGGTAAAGTTTTAGAGCAGAATTAAGCTTACGACATCTGGCTTTATCTCGTACAGTTACTTGTGCATGCATTTTGAATTCTTATTTGCACACAATTTTGCCTCATTTTATTCTTCACAAAAATATGTTTAGAATTTGCTGGATTTTTTCTGATAGCTGGATCCTAGAAACGTTTGAAACAAGGCTGTTCGCTGGCCAGTGCAGTTCTCAGGATTGTAGTAGATTTACAGTTCATATTCTTGTATGTAATTTCCTTAACCTAAAACTACACAGTTTAGATATGGGATAATTTTCATAGCTAAATCAGTAAGAAATACCATAAAGAATGTATTTTGTTTACAAGAAAATCCCAGTTGATTATAAAAGTTTGTTGAGTGATGAGTGATGTAAGATCCACTATTTTCTCATAATTTTCTCACAGTTGTTTAATAATGAACAGTTACTATTCACCTAATAGTACTTTGATCATATAAGTCTGTTAATGCTTTCCTACTGTATATTCTTTAGACTTAGTTCTTGTCCAAGAATGTATCAAATGCAGCTGGAAGAAATACACATGGTGGAATGGATAGCAAAACACTTAGTTTCCACCACTTTAATAATATGATATTGCTATAGTTCACTATATCCAGTGACACAAATCTGTGAGGCTGTTACTGAGTGAGTGAGTGAGTCTTATATATGAGTTTTATGCTGATTAAGGAATTTTGCTTGCCTCTCAAAGTCCCTTAAATTTCATGCTTGCTCATGCCTTATTGTATATGAGTATCAGTGATAACAAAATACATAACTAAGGTATGATTATGACAGTCATATGAAATATATACTCCAATATTAAAAAAGAATTAACGTACTTACCACCATGCCCATGACATGGAAGTATGACTTGTCTATTTGTTTCTTATGTACTACTATGGAATACTTGCTTTTGAGAACATGCAGGATT